TTTCTATAAATGCATTTTGCTCTTTATGCAGAAGCATTCAGAGACAGTTATGTGTTGATTTAGTTTACATTCACACTGGCATCTGACAGGAGATTAGATGAAGTGGATTATTCATGCAGTGAACCGCCACTTAGCAGTAAGAAAAAAAGAAGTATAATTACTGATATAAACATGGAGGAATCTGAAATACATTGGATAAAAGAAGCCTTATACAAAAGAGCTCATGCGTATTTTTCCATTTTTAGGAATTTCTGAAATAGGCAAAAGCAGTACATAGTTAACAAAAGTAGAGTAGTGGTTTGGTGTAGTTTGTGTCATTGCAGGTTGTGAATTGTGAGGTTGGCAGTTCAAATCCTCCAGCTGCTCTGAGGGAGATAGGTGAGCAGTCTCCTATTGTAAAGATTTACAGCCTGAGAAAGAGGGTCACTATGAGGCAGAGGGGTTTTGGCTTGTAAGGGTGGGATTGACCTGGAATGTACATGAAAACTTTCTGACGTGAGTCTAATGTTCTGTATATGGATAGAATTTGAAATCTGTTGTTCTGTACATTTGTCAAAACTCTTCAGGTGGTCATTTAAGATTTAGGTATTTCACTGTATGTCAATTTTACCTCACCTCCCCTAAATGACAGTGGAGGAAACTGTCAAACCAACATTGATCTCTAGTTACCAATCCTATGGCTGTTAAAGTGTTGAGGATTAAAGGGCACTGATATTTGGAAGTTACTTCGAAATGCTTCAGAAATCAAGTGTTCAATATATATAAATAAAAGTTTATCTAGATGGATACATGATCAAGCAAGTATGTTGTTGTTGTTGTTATGTGCCATCGAGTCGCCTGCGACCTACAGCAGCTCTAGCCTGCCCTGTCCTGAGCCAGTCTCACTGATTCCCACACACCAACCCCCATTGCCCCAGTTACTGTATCAGTCCATCTCATCCAGGGTCATCTTCTCCTGCACTGTCTCTCCATCATTCCAACACGATGTCCTTCTCCAAGGAGAGGAAGGAAAAGTTTAACTGTAGAAACTAGGTGGTGGATATTTGAGTATTTACTGTACAATTCTTTAAACACTTCTGTTTCAATGTTGGCGTGATAAAAGGTTGGGAAAAGAAAATAAGTCTGGCTAAAAGATACATACTAGCTTACTTATGAACACCTCAGTGTTTATTAATTAGCGAAGGTTTGTGTTATATCAGCTGGGTGCTGGGCACCTTCCCAAGTGTCACGGGCACAGTGTTAAATGAGATGAACATGGTACTTGCCCTGAAGGAGGTATCATTCTGCGTGGGAAAGAAGTGGGCTTTAACAAACAAATTTATTCCTTTACAGTTTAAGATGGCAACTGTAAGGGAAGGCCCTCTCTGTGTGTCACTGGAGTCAAAGTCCTTATTTCCTTTGGCATCTGTGGTATTTGAGTTCCCTGGGGAACTCTGTGTGTCCTGTCCTCCTCCAGTGACAGAGTTTCATCATACACGAGCTCTGGTCCCCAGAAGATCACACAGCTATAATTGTTGATTGTCAAAACTACTCCCTTTCCAGCATCCTCTTCTGCTAGAATGTATCTGTCTGTCCAGGGTTCTTTAGTTCACAGTATTTTAAAAATCTCTCTCCTGAAATCTCAGGAAATTATAGCATTTTTTGTATCTCTGATTTTTTTAAGATTAATATTCTCAGAACTTTTTACTGTAGTGTGACACTGAGAACTTTGCTAAATAAATCTCTTTATCCTAAAAAAAACAACAACAAACCACCCAAAACCAAACACAACTTCTTATTACCTGGAGCAGTGGACCTACACGTTTTTACTAGAATGGCATGAGCCCAGGTTGCATTTCCTTCTGTGTTGGAGCTGACTTTACAGCAGTCAGTAACAACAGTACAGGCAAAGGTAGCTGGAGGGTCATGCAGGCAGAAAGGGCGAGAAACACTCTTTGTTTTTATAATGGACCTGGCTTCATGAAGAGCCTGGGCTTTAATATTTTGAATCGTCAGATTAATTTCCACCCAAATAACTGGGATGAGCCCAAACATAAAGCTGTCTCAACTCACATTCCGTCCTTACGAGATGTCTTTGGAGGGAGGAGTGTTTGTGTTCTTCTACGACAGCAATGTCATTAATATTCGTAGTTTGCCTATTATCAAATTTGGCAGAGTTGATGAGTTGTTGTGAGATGCCATCAAGTCAGCCACCTGGCAGCCCTCTGTGTGCAACAGGACGGAACACTGCCTGGCCGTGCCCTTTGCTGCCTCATGGTGGGTGCAGTGCAACAGTCCATAGCAGTGGCATGAATGTTTGTATTTTTCCTTTAGACTTTTTAAACTTTATCTTTTTTTTAATTGACTGAAAACAACTCTACCTTGTGTTGTTTTGTTTTTAAGGCTTAATCTAAGGGATTGTGACAGCTAGGGCTTTGCTGTTTTCAGAGTTTATTAATATGCATCCCATTTCTACCCTCAGAGTGAGGACCTTCCCGGTTCTTGGCTCAGATTCCTACACTGAGACAAAGCCTTCCTAAGATTTACTGTCCAGTCCAACCACCCAGAAATTCCCCTTGAAAAGCCTTAAATAGATAAAAAGACATAGCCTCTCCCTCATATTCAGAGACTAGAAACTCCCAGAGGAGTAAGGTGATGACTTGACTTCAAAGGGAATATGCTCAGAAACAAGACCTTTGACAGACGGAATTTGCAGGAGTTCAGAGCCAATCAACCAGACCTTGAATTCTCAGTATACAGATTAGCTGCCTGTTTTTAAACATCCGCTTGGATACTTGTGTCTGTTTCAGTGGCTTAGAGCTCGCTCTATTTCTTTGGTGACCTGTCATCCATGTCTACCCTGTAGCCTTAAACCCTTGCTGGCTAAGCTGTGCTAGCATCTCTTCTCTAACTTGGGAGTTCTTTTACTGTAATTGCTCCTGTAGTAGCTGCTGTTGTCCCCTTCTCCCAGCTCTCTTCCATTTAGGACCTAATTGAATTTTCCCCTGTTCTTCATCTGTTACCACCCCTTGTGCACTAAACCAGGGGAGCAGTGGGGTAAACCCCACTTTCCTTGCTGTTGTGTGGTAATGAGCAGCAGAATTCTGTTTCCAAAGAGTGGACGTGGATTCTGTCTTCCCATTCCCACTTCTGCAACCTCGTCGCCAGCTCCTCACCTGGTGCAGTCTCTCAGCCATGACCACCCAGTGCTTGGTCGGAGCTTGCATGTTAGAAGGACTCTTCTTTCTCACTGCCAGCTAGGCAGACATGGGGACCCTTCTAGTTTTCGCTGCTTCTGTGGGTTCATAAATTCACTGGAATGACTCCCATGTTCTCATGATCACTGTAGCTACTCACCGTTGCAGCTACATTACAACCAAACAAGGATACAAATGAAGAGATAGATATAGGGTGAGGTCAGGGATGGGGGTCCCACTACAGAGCTTCCGTGTTCTCACAAGGGGGTGGGTACCTTACCCTCTCCTGCACGTGGATACCAACCAGAAAGCTCCATCTGCACCTTAGGGTATATTAGCTCTTACTGGCTTCAGCCGGTGTCGGTTGTAGACCACATCCTGCCTCATGAGGACTAGTTGGCATCTGCTGCCAGGTGTCCCTTTGGCCCGGCCATCCCCTGCTCGCTAGCCTCAGATGTTGGTGTGCTCACAGGTGAGAGCAGGAGCCAGATTGCTTTTTGCAAAGTGATTCCACACTTCTCACCTTACCTGGAACTCTTCTGAGGCGTATTCAACACCTGGGGACTCCTGCCTCCTCTCTCCACCTCATCTTACAGCCAGTTAGCATCTACAGGAAGAGCAGTTATTTTGGCAGGTCCATGTGTTGTGACTCTTGGGGTTTGATGAGTCCCTAGGTGAGAGTAGCTTCTTACACAGACACTTGGTGAGATGTAACATTAACACCTCATCGCCATATTCGTGGATTATCATCCATCCTTCCTCAAATTTCAACCTTCACTCAGTCTAACTGGTTAGTTTTGTAGGCATTCAGAATGATGTTCAGAGCATAAGATCCCAGGTGGCGCAGTGGCTGCTAACCGAAAAGGCCTGCAGTGTGAACCCGTCACTTGCTCTAGAGGCAAGGTGTAGCCGCTGGGCTCCTTGGAGACCCTAAGGGCCAGTTTCGCCAGACCTGTAGTCGATCTGAGTCAGAATCAACTTGCCGACTGGGTTTGGTGAAGTATAGTGTAGTTGTGGTGTGCCTTCAAGTCAGAACCAGCTCATAGCTGACTCTCCAGCGTTTTTAGAGGCAGTAAATCACATAGGAGGAGATTGCCCGTCGTTCTACTGCAGAGCAACTGGTGGATTTGAACCACATGCCCTTCCATTAAGGCACCAGAGCTCTCTTTGGTGATTAATAGCATCATTCTCACCAACCCCCAGTTGAAGAGTTAATATGTTAATAGTATTTCCTAATTATTTTATATGCTACTTTATTATGATATAGCAATAAAGTGAAAGTAGTACTATGGAATGTGTCAAAGTACTTAAGTGCTGTCTTCAGGTAATTTGCAAATTCAGATAGGACTTTGTTGTTGATGTTGTTGATGGCCATCAAATCAAGCATGACTCATAGCAACCCTATCAAACAAAAGGCCTGAAGCCCCTCTACAACTGTCAGCATTTATCAGAGTTCATAGAGTTTCCAGAGGCAGGCTGATCAGTAGGTTTTAATGTCGATTTCACTATTCCAGTATTTCTACCCATTTATTATTTATTTACTTTAAATTTGGTTAAAGGTCCCATGCCTAATCTGTCATTACAGAATTTTGTAATGCTTGGCCGTGTAATAAAAACCCAAACCATCACAGTGCCCTCAACTCCGTGCCACTCACGCTCGCCGTCGGGTTTCCAGATCTGTTCATCTGTACAGGAGGAGACTTGCCAACTTCCTTCCTGGGATGATGAGGCAATTTAAATGACCAGTCAGTCCATTAGGAGCCCAGCATATAACGCTTTATGTCACCAGGGCTCGTGACGGCTGTGTGTTGTTTTTTCCTGTAGAATGGCTTCTGAGGGCATGCCTGAATTGAAGATCGAGAGTATGAATTCAAAAGCCAAGCTGCATGCTGCTCTTTATGAGAGGAAGCTCCTGTCCCTGGAGGTGCGGAAACGCAGACGACGGAGCGGCAGATTGAGAACCATGAGGCCAAAATACCCAGGTACCTACTGGGGAGCTTTCACCAAATGCCTTTGTCCGGGCGCTGCCGGGCTGTGCCCGCCAGTTTTGTAATCACTCTTTATTGAGGCAGAATCACCCTGAACTTGTGTACTTTATGCTTCCATGTAGCTTTCTTTGAAATGCAATTTCCAAATGAGAGTGCATTTCAATCCTTCCATTCTTTAGTTTCTGTATGGAAAGGATAGCTGACGTACACCTATTTTGGTGTACTTCCGCTCTTATTCCAGTGTTATAAAAGTTTCTGATACTTTATTTATATTTTTAGCTTAAGTTTAATGGAATTCTGAGCATTATTATTCGGATTTGTGTGATGAAGCATTAGACTGCATACTGTAAACATTTCAGATGTGAACAGAAGAGGGAAATGTCTTTCTATTCCTGATTCTTCCTTATTTTTCGTTTCCTGCCTGCCTTTTTTCCTTGTTCCTCTTTTCCGGAATCCTGAGTTAGGTAGTTTGTCCATTCATCACTGGATTTACATTGGTGAAAAAGTATAATCCCTGTCCTCACAGCATTTATAATGAGTCGAAGAGGGAGATAATGAATAAGCAAGGCATCAGAATATATGCAACATGCTTAGTAGTTCCATGAATGATACACTCTTAAAAATCTCTAATACTCAGTTAAAATTTTTCCCTTAACAATGTGAGAGAACAATTTGTTTTATGTAGAAAAACATCAGCTCTGATGCATATCCTTAATAAGTGTTGAAAATATATGTTTGAAAAGTGTTTTATGCATAATGATACTTTTGTGGTGTGTGGTCTGGTTTAGAAATGGGTTTTTACTAAAAAGATAAAAGGAAGGTATTGGGAGAGAGGAAAATTTAATCCTTTTTTCAGCAACATTAGTGATTCTTCGCATTTAGTGATCACTCAACCAGCTGAAATGAATGTTAAAACTGAGACAGAGAGTGAAGAGGAGGAAGAAGGTGCTTTAGACAATGAGGACGAAGAACAGGAAGCTTCCTTGGAGGAGTCTGCAGGGTCCCTCGGAGAACATCAAACCAAATACGCATCCTCACTGACCACCATGGGAGAAAATTCAACCAAAGAAACCTCTGTGAAAGTTCCTGAATGGAGTCATAAAGGTGAACAGAGCAACAAAACGGAGACCCAGGAGCCAGAGCCCAAGTTTAACCTGATGAAGCTTCTACAGGATAATGGAAATCTTAGGTATGTGCCACTTATCATTATGTTAGTGCTAATAGCTAACTCATATTGTATATACGGGGTACTGCGCTAATGACTTTTACAACCATTTTTAAGTTTAATATTCCTAGCAGTTCTATGAAGTAATGACTGGGATTCAATATTGCTGTTACTAAGGAAACTGAGCCTTAGAGAAAGTAAGTGACTTGTCTGACGCAGAGCTGTAATCAAACTTGTCTAAAGTAGAGCTGTAATCCAAACCCAGATCGCACCAACTCACCAGACCTTTATTGGCGTTAGTGTCAGTCGTCCCCAAGTGGTATAGAGCACTCGGCTGCTCACTGAAAGATAGGTGGTTGGAGTCCACTCAAAGGTGCCATAGGAAAAAAGACCTGGCAGTTGATCTCCAGTGAACCTAGTGGTTAAAAACTCCAGAGCAGAGTTCTAAGAACACAAGGCGACTGAGGCGGATGCTTAAGTAACTCATGGTTTTATGCAGGAAATACTCAAACTAGAGCCATGAGCTCAGCATGAACCAAGTGTTCTTCCTAACCAAACCCATGGTCGTCAAGTCGATTCTGATTCATAGTGACTCTAAAGGACGGGACAGAACTGCCCTGCAGTGTTTCCGAGGCTGTAATCTTCACAGAAGTGGAAATGTCTTGAGTGGCTCGTAGATTTGAACCACTGAGTTTTCAGTTACCCGCTGAGCATTTAACTATTGTGCCACCAGTCCTCCTGAAAGTGTTCTTAGGACACAGAAAAAAACAACCCCAGGAGTTAGTCTTACTAAGGGGAATTAGGTAACTCTGGCGATTTAGTGGTAAAGAGTTGCACTGCCAACCCAAAGGCATGTAGTTCGAATCCAGCAACATCTCTGTAGGAGGAAGATGGACAGTCTCTTCTTGTGTGGTGCACAGCCTCTGAAAAGCAACTAGAGGGTCAGTTATGACTCAGTTCCAACTGGATGGTCAACAACAAGGGGAATTAGAATACATGTGGAGGCGGTGATGTTTGAACTGAGTATTGACTATAGAGTGGAATTTCAGAGTTGGAGAGCTACTGGTGGGAGTGGGAGTGCTGGGTCGGAGAAATGGAGGCCCAGAGGAGCGAGAGCTCAGTCATTCAGCCCCTCGGCATGTACAGAGTGCCTGCTCCATGCCAGTGACCGTGCCAGGCTGTCTAATGTTATAATTGAGGGTACATGGGCCCATGAAGCTTACAGGTCATTGTGGAAGACAGCAAACAAAGTCATTTTGGGCAGCAAGAATTGCTAAGAAGATGATTTTTTTTAAAAGATGCAGACCTAGAGAGTAATTAATCAGCAGCTACTGTGGATGGTGGTTTGAGACCATGGAAAGTAACCTTTTGATGCATTCTGAATGAATGAGGAGGAGGAATAAGAAATACAGCAGTCAGAGGGCGGGATATTCCAGGCACAACAGCAAGTACAAAGGCCTTGGGATTACAATGAGCTTGGCCTCTTTGAGAAATACAGATGAGAGTAGTGGAGTTCCATGGAGAAAAGGTGAGATGAGAAATGAGGCTGAAAAAATTGGATGTTGTCAGGTTATAAAGGGCCGTATGATGAGCCCTGGCTTAATTTTGTATATGGGATTATTTTCAAGTGGATGAGTGATAATACTAGGACTGGTTTTAGGATGTGAATTCTGGTCACAGGGTGGAATTGTGATTGTTAGAGGAGACGTGAAAGGAATGGAGATGGATTGAAATAGTCCGTGGCCAGAGGAATGAGGGCCAGACCAAGTAGTGGCTGTAGAGATGGAGAGATTGGATGGCCCCAGGGACTCTTGCAAGGTTAATGGGCAAGAAGAACTCCAGGGAGACGGAGTTTTCCCAAATGTGATGACTTGGTGATGCCATTAGTCAATGAGAGAAATAGACATTGATTTCAAAATAGCAGAGTTTCCACTGTGAGGTAGAAGTGCTCTGGGGTAAAGATGTGCGGTGGAGAGAGGAGAACGCAGCATTTTAGGTCAACTTTGAACATAGAGTTGTGAGCTGAGGTCTTCCAAGTATATGGGTTTGTCCAATTCCAGTTAGTTCTACATGTAGACCCAGTAACAAGAGAATTGAGTCCTGGGAAAGTGTTTAGTGAATGGGTCCTCAGAGAGACTAAGAAATGGCTGATGGAGAGATGGCGTAGAAGTGGAGGGAGCAAGATGACGCAGGCTGCAAGCTGAGCTGTTCCGATGTGTGGAGAAACTTGGCTAACTGAAGGTAGGATGCGGGCTGATGGCACAGTGTATGACGTCAGGCAGACAGAGTGTGTGGAGGACAGTTGTGAGTTGAGGACAACATGAAATCACACCAGAGGATTTGGAAGTGAAAGGGAGGTTAGAATGTGCTTATTGAGAGCAAACTAAGACTTTCAGATAGGAATTCTTGAGCTTGCTATAGGTAAGGGTTTAATGGCACGAAGAGAAGAGAAAGTTCCTAAAGAAAGGTGGAAAGAGATCATTGGTGGAGTATCTGAAGATGTCAAGATGAGGAAAAAGTCCTATATGGAGTAAAACTAATAGTTAAAAGTTAAGGAGGAAAAATGTTCAGGAGTTTATGCAGAATGGCCTTTACTTTCTCAATTAAGGTAGAAGCCACTTTTTAGAGTGAGAGTGAGGGTGACTTGGAGTTCAGGGAGCAGCAGGCATAGAGGCAGAAAGGCTTCGATTTGTCAGTGTTGTGGGCTCTGGCTGCCTTACCTTGGGGCTCTGTGATCATGGGTTTGTCACAAGGCTCTCCAGGCCTCAGTTTCCTTTTCTGTCTAGCAACAACATAAGACTACACCAATTTAAAAACAATGCTTCCTGGAAGAGAAAATGAAAATCAACTATTTGAAAACTGCTAGAGTCTATTCTAAAGTTCTTTCCAGGAATAACATTCCACACAGTGTAGAATAAGAATTTCTGCATACATCTTGTAGAGCTCACTTTCAGGGAGTAAGCTGTTGTTTTGCGGTGTGTGCTAGTATAAATCAGTGGTTTTCAGACTGTTCTCTGGGGCTGCCCGTGGGTCTGTGGAGCATCCAAACAGCTGCTGACGGCCCATGGAAGGCTTACGGCAGGGCCTTTGTGCTTCTGGTCCCAGCTCCCTGTTCCCTAGTTATATATCACAAACTACTTGGAAGCAGGGGAGGCATCCGCTTCCTAAACAAAATCCTCCAGAAACTCTATGAACTGTGATAAATTTGGTAGTTGTGGAGAGGCTTCAGGCCTTCTGTTCATAGGGTCGCTATCAACAACAGTGGGTCCACATAAGCTTTTATTTTAAAACTTAAAAAGCAACAGAAAATGTTCCTTCAGTGTTAATTATTCTGATGTTTGCTTTCTCATACTGTTTGTTTGCTTGTTTGTTAAAATGAGTGATGTGCCTAGTACCTAGGGGAAAGAATTTCAAGAGTTAACATCCCAAGGATCTTATTTTACAGATACATTCCTAGAATTGCAAGACTCACATGTTCATTTGCACCAAGAGAGTGATTGAAATATCTGTTGTTGAGCATTTATTCCATTGAATCCTTAGTATTAGGGACTGATGAAGGGACCTTCTGCTGTGCTGGGAGGTGTCTGAAGCATGCCATTTCTAGTGTTATATTACAAATGGCTTGTTGGGGCAAATCGGGACTCTTTTTCACTTGTTTGACGTGAAAACCATTTGTTGTGGGGGTAAAGCTTATTGGAAAGGCTGAAGGGGTAGTGGGCCATGATCTCAGGGTGAGATGGAAAAGAATTGTCCTTGCTGAGAGAGATTTGAAAATACAGATGCTTTGCTTCAGAAAATGGTCCCTCTTAATAACAAAGGGCCATCCTTCTTTGATTTGTGTTTCTGAAAATCATATATGTTAAACTCAGAAGCAGATCTATTACCTAGCCTGGCCAGTGCCCCTGCCCCCCTCCCCCCTCAAAAAAAAAAAACCCAACCCACAGTAACACTTCCCTCTAACATAGTTCTAGAAGGAAGGCCTAAAAAGATTTTCAGGTTACTCTGGGCAAATCTTTCACCCTAACCTTGAGAACAGTAGTAGAACGGCGTTTGGTGATTGCATATATAAGGATTGTAAACCGAGTTTGTGTTGGGCCATAATCTTTGCCAATGTCGTTTTGGCTACAGAGTCAGAAGGTCAGTCAGCTGAAGTAACCAAAATCTAGCCTGAAAGAAAACAGATCTGCTGTGAGTAGCCACTGAAGTAAAAAATCATCAGTGTGTCTGGGCCTTCTGACCTCCAGGCTACGGCTTCCCCACGTTTGCTTGTTTCATTCAGCAGAAAGCCTGGGTTCCTCCAGGAGGCCGCGGAGGCACTTGCTTCCTGCCTCTCACTGAACATCTGACCCGCCTGGTCTCACAGTCCATCTGTGCAGACAGTGCTGCCCCTCGCTTGCTTGTTCCAGCCACTCCCACCCTCTAGTAGAGAAAAGCATCACCTTAATATTTGGCCTTAAAAAGGTTTTTTTGTAGGATTTGTCAATTTCCTGTCCTGAAGGCTCTATTGTTATTGTTGTTGTTGAGAGCACGACCTTATGAACGACAGCTCTGAATCCTGTGCCGTCCTCATCATCTCTGATACACTTGAGCCCATTGCTGCAGTCACTATGTCAGTCCATCCCAGTGGGGGTCTTCCTCTCTTTCGCTGACCCTCTACCTTTCCAAGCCTGATGCCCCTTTCCAAGGGTTGGCCTCTTCTAACTACATAGTATGTTCATGCCCAAAGTATGTGGGATGAAGCTTTGCCATCCTTGCCTTCAAGCAGCACTCTGGCTGTATTTTTTCCCAAGACATATTTGTTTGTTCTTTTGGCAGTCCAGGGGATTTTCAGTGCTCTTCTCCAGCACCACAACTCAAAGTCATCAGTTACCTTCTGCTATCCTTATGCATCGCTAGGCATGTAGTTAGGAGAGGTTAGTCCTTGGAGAGGGATGTCATTCCTGGAAAGGTGGAAGGTCAGTGAAAGAGAAGAAAACTCAAGTGGGATGGATTGACACAGTAATTGCAGCAATGGGCTTAAGTATGTCAGAGATAATGGGGATGGCACAGGATAGGCTGCGATTCAGAACTGTTTATAGGGTCACTGTGAATCATACTTGAGTAGGTGGTACCAAACACCACCACCATCCCCCTAAGAAGGTGGTTTGAAAACTCAGAGCATAAGGTAAGGGTAGAAAATGGGATTTTCTGTTCTTGGCTTTCCCAGATTAACGAGGTAAAATATGTAGGCTTCTTCACCTGGTTCTTTTAATAGAAGACGAACAAAATTCATGACTGTTTGATAGCTGCGTGTTTCTTAGCCATCCTAACAGGATCCTCTGAGGCACGTGACACCAGCTACAACAAAGGCCATTCTGAGAGCAAGTAGACATGAGTTGGATTGCCATTCTGTCTTATAACAGTGTGTTGTTTTGGATTCCTATAGCAAAGTGCAGGCCCGAATAGCATTCTCTGCCTATCTTCAGCATGTTCAAATTCGCCTGATGAAAGACAGTGGAAGTCAGACGTTCAGTGCCAGTTGGGCTGCCAAAGAGGACGAACAGATGGTAAGATGACTCTTGTTGGAACCCTTTTACTTTCCCCCATTTTCTCTCCCTTTTCTGTTTTGTACTCTCTTTGCAATTAGGGTTAAGACCAATAGATTCCAGTGAAAGAATGATGACACAGCCTAGGCTTGAGGCTTCTCTTGCTTCACCTTGGAGCACATCTTCTGCCAGAAGCCATCTGTTCTGAGGCCATCAGTTTATTTCAATGTGAAGATTTTAGTCGATGGCTCATTAGATTTCATTCTCTGTACAAAGTCTTCAAAGAGAATAATGATTTCTAGAGTCCTTTCTGAAGCATCCTCACTTTTTTTTTTAAATAAAGGTAAAAAGTAAAGATAGATTTATTAGGAAGTCCCAGAGACAGAGCGGGCCTTTCTCCTTGGAAAGGAGATTGGAGGAGGTCCATGCTCACATTTCTGTTAGCTCTTTGAAGTTGGCATTAGCATTGCCATTCCACAGAGGAGGAGGTAAAGTCGCAGAGAAGAGAGGTCTGTTGTGTGTTGTTTCCCAGTCTGAGTGTGGTGACACTGAACTTGCATCACGGTAGATCGCTGGTCCTTCCAATCTTTTCTTGCATCACAGACATTGACTTTGGATTCAGAGGCACCAGCTCTGCCTCTTGCACGTCAGCATCTCATCACAGGCTCTCTCACAATACACCATCCTTCACCTTTTTTCCCTTCTTTCCTAGTTGTAACTTTATACTGTCTTTAGATCCCTGAAATAAAACTCTTACTCTGCGGGAAGAATTGATTGTATCTCAGTCATGTGAACATGCTTGATCTCAGGATGAAACAGGAACAACATTGTCCTTGCTGAGAAGGATTTCAACATACAGATGTTTTGTATCAGAGTCATACTGAAGCATAGATACACTATCCTGGCAAGGTTTGTATTTTTGGATCAGATTGGCAGGGAGCTTCAGGCTGTTTGGTAAGATCCATTTATAGAAGCCATAACTTTTCCTTAGCCTCTATGTAGTTGTTATGTCCTGTTGAGTCAAATACAGCTCACAGTGACCCTGGAAACAACAGACCTGACCCTTGTCCTGTCCTGTGGCATCTTCATCATCTCTGATACACTTGAACCTGAAGCTGCAGTCACTGTGTCAATTACCCTTGTTGAGGGTCTTCCTCTCTTTCGCTGACCCTCTTCTTTTCCAAGCATGATGTCCCTCTCCAAGGAATAACCTTTATGGCACTAGGAATTTAACCAGTAAGAAAGGGACCTTTAAGTTTGAGAAAACAGCATTCCTTATCCAGTTCACTAGTGACTCTACTGTCATTTTTGGTTCCCCACATGCAGAAGACAAGCTTATTATAAAAAAAAGCAACTCATGAATTTAAAGTGGCCGGAGCAACCCAAAGATAAAAACCTTATATGTTGTGAATAATCCTTCAAGCATGGGTGGAAAATGTTAGCTTTGCTCTTTCCAAGTGGAAAATTGAAGCTGCCTTTTCAAGAGTCAGTTTGTCTGCTCCACTGTGAGAAAAAAAAAATAATGTTTTAATATAACAGCTTAAATCACCATATAGTAAAGACAGCAGAATAGTAGCAGGGAATCCAGCCCTCTGGCTGTGAGACTGCTCCTTTATGCTGGAGTAAATTGGCAGACAAGGAGCCAAATCAGATCCAAGAAGAAGAAGAAGGAAAAAAGAAAAAAAGCTCAGAGGAGAGAGGAACTATTATAAATGCTGACTTGAAATCCCCACATGGTTCCTCTAGGATTTCTGCAAAAAGTTTACAAATGATACTGTGTTTTCCTTCAGTCATTCATAGACATTTTAAACATGAATTAAACATTTTTAACATGAATTAAAATGGATTAGTGTATTTAATTAAAATGTTTAATTCTTTTTCTACAAGAATATTTGTAAGGCTCACCTCACAATGTAATTCTTTGAATTCCTTTTTGAAAAGGGATCTATAAAGCAGACCCCAGCCCCACTCATGGGAATTGTGGCCGTGGTCTTGCTTATGTGGATGGTGAGTAGAAAATTGCCTTCTCTAGTCCAGGTTAGGGCTAGCGTCTGAGATCATTTATCACATAACACCAAGGGCACACCAGCAGAAGGCCACAACGGCCATTAGACAGTCTTAAATGTTTAAGATACTAATTTTTAAGATCTTTGATTTTACAAAACCTTTCTTTGAGTTATCTGTGATGTCCTGAATTACATGATTGGTAGCTGTTCAGATCTTACTGGGATCCACCGTAAACACCCTTGGCACCAACAGTCGGGTGATCAGGAGATATATTGCATTGGTAAAGTCTGCCCTCCAGGACCTTTCCAGATTGCTGAGCAGAAGTGATTCCAGTTCAAAGACTAAGATGTGCCTGAGTCAGGACGTGGTCTTTTCAGCCATTTGTCATGTGTTTGAGAGCTGGACAATGAATAAGAAAGAAGTAAAACTGATACTTTGAGTTGTGGTGTTAGAGAATAGTCCTTACTGAATATCCCATGCGCTGCCAAAAGAACAAGCAGCTATGTCTTGGAGAAGGTGACTCTCCTTAGAGGCAAGAATGGTGAAGCTTTGTCTCGCCTACTTGAGGCGTGTTGCTAGAAGGGGCTGGTCCCTGAAAAAGGATACCATTCTCGGAAAGGTAGAAAGAAGTTCAGCAAAAGAGAAGGAATACAGGATTCAGATCGGTTGTTCATAGAGTTGCTTTAGTCATACTCAACAGCACATAATAGCAACAATGTCAAACGGGCTGTAGCCAGAATTTCTGCTTCTTATTAACCCACTCCGCCCTCCTTGACCCCAGCCCCCACAAAGCACCAATCATTGAGGAAGATGGAAAAAAAAACCATCACCTTCCAATCAGCTCTGCCATTTTTTTAAAATTATCTTTATCACTGAATTTCTTAAATAATTAGTTTTGTTCATATCACCTGTATCCTTGATTACCCATGCATTCCTTCACCTCTTGCTTCTGTTGCCTTAATTTACGGAAATTGTTCTCTCCAAATTCTCTTATATTGACCAGTTCAGGGTCCTGTCTGGTCTGTCCATCAGTGTTTAATGTGGGAATGTTTTCTTCTATTGGTTTCCACGACAATATTCTCTTGAATTTCTAACTCTTTCTCCTTTTTTCTGTCCTTCAGTAAGGACTGTTCTATGTACTTTTTCTCCAACTCCTCACCTTTGACTATCTTCACAGGAGTTTTAGTTTCCACCAACTATCCTCAAATGTAATCTTCCTTTCTTTTCTTGCCTTGTCTGAAATGATATTTGCTCCTTAAATTATTGTAATATATTTCTATATTATTACAATACTTTTTTAGATTCTATTTTATCCCGTGGTTATTTGCATACATATTTGCTTTGGTGGTTTGATTGCTCATTTATAGAGAAAAGAGTAAGTTGAGTTTTGTTTGTCTTTGTTATTTTTCTTAGGATGTTTGCTTCTGCATACTTAATTGTTGAAATATATATTTCTCCCATTTCCACTACTTGATACTGTCATAGTTTGCCTTCTGCTGCTCTTAATAGAACCTCTCCTTTCCCCCTGGCTCTCTGATTTATAGGAACTGGTGGTTCGTTTCCTTAAGCGAGCATCAAGCAACCTCCAGCATTCACTGAGGATGGTATTACCAAGCCAACGACTGGCACTTCTGGAACGCAGGAGAATCCTGGCCCACCAGCTCGGTGACTTTATTGTTGTGTACGACAAGGTAAGTGCTTTATTCATTAATCTTATGCTTAAATTGCACTCTGTTGTCATGTTGTTGTTGTTGTTGTTGTTGTGTGTGCCTTCAAGTTGGAACCAGCTCATTAACTGACCCTCCAGCAAGTTTTCAAAAGCAATTAATTGCTTGAGAGGAGATTGCCCATCCTTCTGCAGAGCCACTGGTGGACTTAAACCACGCGCCTTTGGGATTTGGAATTGGAGCGCAACTTCTTACCACGTGGCCGCCAGAGCTTCCTCCTAATTATCATGATAGATGACATTGTAGCCACTGTCCCACTAGGTGGAGAGGTCCTTCTCTCCTGTAGTGTCATTGTCACCTGTGTGTTACTCTGATGGGAAACAGGAGGCCACACGCTAACGCAGCGAGGCGGGAAGCTTCTTGCGACACCTGAGAGCTCAGTGGCCATAGCTAACACTTAGTAAAAGGCACATTCCTTTGAGCACTTTGCGCATGAGCAGAATTCTGGGCTATATGAATAATTTGCCTCATTATTGTGCCTTTAGACAGTGGGGAGTTAATTGGAAGCAAGTTTGAATTGTGCATTTAATAATAATGACATGGGTTTTTTTCTGGAAAGAGTTGTACTCTCTCCTGTGAAACTTTATCTACATCAGTATAAGCAATATAATATTAGAATATTTATGAAATAGAATATTAGTTCTAATATTTTGCAAAGCATTGTAAATTCAAGTATCTTGGAATGCCTTGGAAATATATTTGGGAGGGTGTCTGTAGGTATGGTCGGTTTGTGGAGAGAAATACTTACGTTTCGAAATGTACATGGCTTTTCTAAGGTTGTATGAAGGTTAGTCAACTGTCAGTATCCCAAATCTATATCTACAATGAATCTAAATCTATTGAGAATGTTTTGTCTCAGTTTATGAGTAAATGTTTGACTTTCGATGTTAGTATTAGAATCTCTTACAAGACCTTTTGGACAAAAGAGCATTTCTCTTAATTGCAATTCAGTACAATGTCTCTGTTACACTGCTGAAGCTGCCAATGGGGTGATGGACATTAGTAAACTGCTATAAAAAGTTCTACTTTTAATGGAAAGTAGTAAAAGGTTAAAAACCAATAAAATTTTACATTCATTCTGCAACTTTTAAAGCATTTAATGAAATAATGGTAGATAGTAAGGCCTCACTTTTACAAATGGCAAGATATATGGTGGGAATAATTTTCCTTCCTCTAAGGGAAATTAATATAAACATGGTGAAACAGCTGTTTAAGTATCTGTGTATCAGGAGTCATTTTTGTCTCGTTTTTCTGTCGCATTTGGGGAATGAGTAGGAAACAAAACAGATGGCCGAGAAGAAATCCAAGAAGAAACTTGAGGAAGAAGAGGAAGACGGGGTAAACACAGAAAACTTTCAGGAGTTCATCAAACATGCAAGGTAGAGATAATCTTGGCTAATAAATACCACTGTGTTCCCTCTTCGTATTGCCCTCATTAACTTCCCAATAGTTCCTTGTTTCTGACTTATGGATATGAGTAAAACAACTCTCAAAAGGAAAAAAATGTTATAGGCTTGGACCTCATCAAATTGCAGCCAATTATGCTACTGTTGTCATAGTTTCAGTTATGAAAACACCCCTGCTGAGTATCTGGACTGTATTTCTGAGCAGGCGTCAGCGTAGACACCCCTGGAGTGCTGAGAGAGCTTTTTGGGAAGTTGAGGTTAGAGATGTCAAGTATTCGCCAGTTCTGAGTTTCCCCCTGACTTATTGGTGTAGTATTGGCGTTGACCAAACGTTGCCTACAGTGAGTGAGAATTGATAGCTTCTGGACTATATGATGCCTAATTTATATACAATAGAAGAAGCCTTTTCTGTTTAGAGTTTTCATGAGTTGACAGTCTCTGCATATTTAGCCAGCTTGATGCACATCAGCCAGACCTTCTTGTCCATTGCAAATATGTTTCAAAAAGAAAAAACATTGCATTTTAAATTTTGTAAGAGCTGCTTGAGAAGATCTTCCCCTGAAATGAAGTTTGTCAAAAGACTAAAATGAAGCATAAAAGGTCTGTCTGACCCCGTTAATTAGGCTTCACCCATCGAAGTCATGGTGGGAGAAAAGCAATAGAAAAAGAAACTCTTTCTTGACTTGTGCAGTTCATGCTGGTGGTGTGGTCTGTCAGCACCAGCCTAGTGTGTTCTTTGCTCGGTGCATGGAACTAACAATAAACTCAGAGGCACATGCTTACATGCACAGCACATACATTGTTTTGTCAGAGTCCATATTTGTCGCAATTTGTTGCCATTCTTTGGTCTTGGGTAATGATTGATAAAATAGGTATACAAAGAAAGCAAGAAGCCATTCCCACATCAACATTATAAAATCTCAAAAGGGAAAACACTAGATTATCTTGAGAAAGTGGTGACTCTCCTGTTTAAACAAACAAACAAAAAATCAATTTCCGGTTCTTCCTAGAAGTCTTCAAAATCTCTGTAATACAGAAAATGAAAATGAGGACCTATTCAGTGATACACATCCCTCTGAGGAGGACTAATTAAGACGCTGAAAAGTGATTCTCTGCTAATAACTGGCAATAATGATTTGGAGAAAAAAAAATGTATTGGAATGTATTTGTTGTCCATTGTTGCTTAAATAGTCGTATTTGGGAAATAGGAAATAACATCAGTTCTTAGTAAATTTGGAGTCGACACACGAACACATTCTTCAGAATTGGTAGGTTCAACCAGGGCTAGAATTCAAGAAGGTAACAATTTGTGGAGTAGGGAGATGATGAGACAATAGCTGAGGCACCTTATATCTTAACCAGCCTTAACCTTGGCCTTTTACACATGGACAGGCAGAAGCAGCTGCCAACTTGGAGGATGAGCTGTAGGTCTTTGAGGGTTACCCGAGGCACTAGGGCATGGAGCTACATTGGAGACCTCACACTACACTACCCTACACTAGTCTACACAGACTATACTAGAGACTCACAGGGGAAGTTTCCTAGGGTTTCGTTAGCGTGCCCGAACCTGGGATCGAGTTTAACGTTCTTTTTCTAATACAAGAATGTGTCCTTTCATCTTGAGGCTCCCTATCTGGAACAGACAGAGGTCCGAGGAAAAGGAAAAAGACCATTGAGAAGCCACAGTGGAGCTTATAGAACCCATGCATAAAATGTTATTGGAAGATTTGCATAGACCCTCATCTAGTATATTTCCTATTTTGTGGATGTTGATAAAGAGCAGATGATTTTGGTAATTTGAAATTGTGTTAGAGATCATCTCCTTCAGTCTGCTTCCTTGCACTCTTCCGAGGTGAGGCTACTGGGTCTCCTTACCCGTAGTTAACAGGCAGCGTAGCTTCCTTAGTGCACGTACTGCGCGGGTCTGGAATAGTGGTGGGCAGGCTGCAGAGAGCCATGTGCTGTGTCAGGCTTTGCAGGCCACACAGGACCTTTGCCACATAGTCTTTCAAACTACAAAAGACTCTAGGAAAATGAGTCAGGTTTGCAGTGGGCTGCCTCCTGATCTAAGATATGGCTGTCCAGTTGGACTTTCTGTCTGTGGGGATCTTGCAGTGTAGCTAGTGAAAATGAGGCACAGAATTTTTGCTTCTGTTTCATGTTCATTTATGTGGTCACTTGTGACTTATGGCTTCAGATATTTACAGATAATTGGGGGATGTCGGTAGGTAAAAATCTGCTATGATGAATAAAGCATTAGCATGTTTTAGACCTCTCTCACTGAGGTCTCACATATAGGGAGATTTCAGCAAGTGCCTTTCATTTTCTCCTCTAGCAAAATCCTTTTCCATAATAAAAATCGCAGTGGAAAGATGTTTTCCAGAGCAGCTTCCTGTTCTGACCATACTCTTTCTCTTCTTTGCAGTGAGGCTGAGCTGGAAGAAGTGTTGACTTTTTATACCCAAAAAAACAAGTCAGCCAGTGTGTTCCTGGGGACGCACTCCAAAAGTTCCAAGAACAGGAGCAGATATTCTGATAGCGGGGCAAAAGGTGGTAAGTTTTCTAGTCAGTTAATGAAAAATACGAAGGATGGTTGGAGGAGGAAAAAAATGAAATCTGTAGAGATGCCAAGAAAAATGTGCTGCCGCAGCACTTGTAGACTTCAAAGTAGGGAGACTTCGTAGCATTTGGAGGGGGACGGCTTACGTTCTTGTGCTGAAGGAGCAGCACTAGTGTTACGAGGTTTTTTGTTTCGTTGTTTCTCATGGTAATTAATAGCAGATAGCTTTTCAAGAAAAGCTATTATAGCTGCTATCTGATGAGCCCTTACCTAACTCTCTGCTGGTCAGGAGCTGAATTTTCTTGTCAAAAGCCCATATGGAATAGGCACCGTTACCAGACTTCTCTATGGATGAGAACTCAGAAGCTGAGAGAGACTAACTTACCCAAGGTTACTCTTCACCACAGCAACTTACCCAGGGTTACCCTTCACCGTGCTAACATACCCAGCAATACCCTTCATGGGCTAACTTACCCAGGGTTACCCTTCACTAGGCTAATTTACCCAGCGTTGCCCTTCACTGTGCGTTTGGACAGGGATTTGCACTGTTGTCTGACCGACGGTGAGCCCAGGCTCTTAAACTTCGCCTCTGTCTCTCCTAATGATCACTTCCTCCTCTGTGGACTTCGTTGCCTCCTCTGGCTCATTAGTTGGTTTGCTGTGTGGACCTGTTCCATGCATTGTTGTTGTGCTGGTCAGGTGCCATCGAGCCGAGAAGACTCATAGTGGCCCTGTGGACAGTCGAACTGAACCCTGAGCTATCTCGTGCCATCCTCATCAACTCTGACACACGAGAGCCCACTGTTGCAGTCACCATGGCATTGATGCCTTTGAGTTATGGTGCAGGATATCCCATGGTCTGCCAAAAGAACAGATAGACCTTGGAAAAAATGCAGCTACAGTGCTTTTTGGAGGCAAAGGTGGCAAAGCTTCATCTTTCATACTTCAGACATGTAGCTAAGCAAGGTTATTTCTTGGAAAAGGACGTTACACTTGGAAAGATGAAAGGTCAGCGATGGGAAGGAAGACCCCTACTTAGATTGTATATATTAGATACCTGATATCTGTAGTCCAAAGCTCTGTATGGCATTGTCTATCTTTACTCATTGTGATAACCTAGAATATTCCCACACATTTACAGAAGTTCTTGGTGCTGGGTTATTCCATGATGTGGAGAGGATGATTTGGAACGGAACATGGACTAGATACTGTCCAACATGTTATCACAATAAAAAAGTATTGGTTCCATTATGTTGTAAACAGAGCTCTGTTTTGTAGGAGTCATTTATAACTTCAATAGAAGCAATAAAACAAACATGCTCCTCATTTTGTCAGTGTGTGACACCAGATTCAGAGAGGAAACATGTGCCTTGCTCCTTAAGCTATCGTAGTCTGACATGGAAATAGGGAGATTGGTCATTCAGAATTTGGTATGAGTTATACTAAAAAATTGGATTCACAGACTAGTTCCCAACAACGTGTTTAACTCACTGTATCGTTGAATTATTGCATTACTGTAAGACTTTCTGAGTGCACCCCTCTTCTTGGTGTTTTCTTAACTGTTCTAAGTTCAGAAGTTAGTTCATTCATTCATTCATTCATTCATTCTGTATACTTTGACCACTTGTTCTGTATCAGACATGTGGTAGTTACTAATAGAGTAACACAGATCATCATAGTCCTTGACTTTGGAAAATGTACTATCTAGTGGGTAACACATGGTGAGCTAATATAGGAAGGTGGTTGGTAGAGACTCTGAAAAGCGCTTATAGCAGTAGGGGGTTGAAGAGAGACTGATGAATACTTCTACTGACATTAGTTGTTGTTGTTAAGTGACATCAAGTCATAGGCGACTCATAGCAACCCTATGAACGAAAGTCCTCAACACTTGTGTGACTTTTGTCCTTTCTTCAGGTTCTTAGGGTTTCTGGAGGCAATCTGTTACGGAAGTGGATGCCACTCCTGCTTCCAAGCTTGTTTTTAATCGGAAAGCTCCACCAAACACTGTCCACCATGGGTGACCATTCTCACATTTGACACATCAGTGTCAGTGTTCAGCATCACAGCAACCACAAGTTACCTCTGTACAGCAAGTGGACAGACCAGGTCTATACGACCTAGAAAAATGTTTCACCAAAAACAATTAAAGACAGGCCTGAGGGTCGCAGGTTAGAGTCACCCAAAGGGTTCTAACTGGGGGAAGCAGGGCGCTACATGAGCATGTAAATAGCAGCTAATGCACTGAAAGTACTGAGAAAGCCTAAAAGCAGGAAATGGCAATACCTAGCTCTAAAGATGGGACACTGGAAATTCTGGGGTTCATGTGTTAGAGATTCCCTGTACAGAAGACTACTCATATGTCTCTGTTCCTCTCAAGAGTTCCTGGAGGGGCTGGAGACCTAAGTAAGTGACACAGTAACATTGGTTAGTCCGGACTCATTGCAAACATGATCGAACACATGTGACATTGTTCCACTTACTGGTGGTGATGGAGCCGAAGGGAGTTTGTATGTTTCTACTCTTTCACTGTGATTACTGCAAAAGGACTTTTCACAAGGCTATGTTTGAACCCAATCCTTGAGAGAGATTAGGGAACCTCTGTCCCTAAGTGTGTGATTTTGCTACTCCACTGCTTCGTTCTACAGTCACTGAAAAAGAATATAAAAACCTTTGATAGATTAGGAATAGCGGGGATTTACTTGTGCTTTTGTTGAATATACTGATCGGCTGACCTCAAGTGGACACCTCAGTCTGCCTCGAGTGGAGCTGAGGAGATGGTTGTGAAGAGTGAAAATGCTGCCGCATCCACGTAAGCGCTGGGTTGCGCCTCCTCTCAAGAGCTACCTTGATCCATCCATGTTCTGACTTTGTGGTTCCAGTGCATACCTCCAGTCAGCATTGTTTGTTGTTCCTGTTCCTTTAGTCTGAATTTCTGGCATAGACTTCTGACTACCCTCACTGGGCATTGCCCTCCTTTCAGGACATGCCTAAACTTGGCAGTCCATGGACGGCTGCCCTAGGCTTAAATGTCTTTCCCTGGTTCACCTAGCCCTAGCCGGAAGTGGCATAGGGGACTATATAGGCTGACTGGGTTGGTTGCTCATCCAGCAAGGATTGGGTATGGCCAGCTTTGGAGAAGCACTTTGGAAACATGTGCAGTAGTTTCACCATTTGTTGGTAATGGTATTGCATTTTGGAAACATAATTCTGCTACATAGAGAGCCATACCTTTGCAGTTGCTCTGAGCAAGAAATCTAAGCTTAGTGTTTCTCGTTGCAGATCACCCTGAGACAGTGGAAGACGGGAAAACCAAGCAACTCAGACCGCAACATGCAACAGAAATTCACTCTGATAAACTCGCTCGTGAGTGATTTTAAACCTATGTAAATTCACTTGCTCTCTGATAAATTCCCAGAAGTTAAAGATGGAGGGAGGGGGAGCTCATTTAATGTTAGATGTTAAAATATAAGTGTTACCTCACAGAAATTTGGCTTGATACCATTATCAACAAATGGTTATTTTTTTTTTTCTTAAAGCATTTCCAATTAGCTATCAGTAACCCATTTTGCTTCCAAGCAAGTTGTCATTAATGTTTAGAAATCCATTTCACCTGGCAAAGTGGGGAAAAGCGGGGGAGGAGCTGGCTGTTCCTGAAACTTCGTCCTCATGTCCTAACATTGGGCCACGTACCTGTCCTCTTTGTGGAGGTGGCCCCAACTCCACCTTTCAGAAAGGACCCAATATGAACTGCCCTCTTTGTTGCCAGGTTGTCTGTGGTAGGAAATGTTCCACAGGTTTAGGATGAATATGTCTATACTTTTTTCTTCCCCATGATTTCTGTTTCATGCTCAGATTATTTTGATGCTTAAAAAAGAGTATTTATATGCTTTGCTGGCCTAGGAACAAGAAGCTGCGCTGCAAGGCACGCAGTTCAAGGCCACCTACTGCTCCTCGGGAGAAGGATAGGCAGTCTCCTCCCATATGATTAACTACCTCTGAAAACCCACCAGAGGGTCAGCTGTGAGTTGGTTCTGACTCGACAGTACACAGCAACAACAGTATTATGCTTTAAAAAGATTGTCTATCAGTGTTTTCCTGAAATGATGTGCTGTTTTACCTTTGTTTTATAGGACTTACCACTTCAGAAAAAGAACCTAAATCGGTCTATTCCAGTTCTTCCTCTGCCTCTTTCTCTGGCCCGACTGCTACTCTTCTGCAGAAAATTCCCAGCACCCATTTGTCATCTGTTATTACAAACTCTGACCTCCCGCCAGGGCCTGGCCACCATGCGTCTTTGTCTCCGATTTCACCGGCCATCCCCAGCATGCCTCACCAGTCAACGATTTTACTGAACACCAACCCTGACAGCACTTCTCCCTCCCTCCATCCTGGGGCACAGAACGTGCCAAGCCCTGCTGGCCTCCCGCGCTGTCGATCAGGCAGCTACACCATCGGCCCCTTTTCTTCTTTCCAAAGTGCTGCACAAATCTATAGCCAGAAACTGTCTCGTCCCTCTTCAGCAAAGGCAGGTGAGTGAGAAAAGAAAAGACCCATCGAAATGTCAGTTTTTCCCCAGCCTGCAGTCAAAAAAGAATGTCTTTTCTCTAACGGAACACTTACTGAATTGTTCTATGTGCTAAGTGTTATATTTGGTCCAGTAGCATTTATCTATTGACACAAAATAAAATGAAAGTAAAGTAAAATAAAACTTTTTTCAGATGCTAGGGATATAAAGATATGAGTAAAAGAAAGCCACTGTCCATTCCGAGCTTGTAGTCCATTCAGGAGATTTCCCAGCACAGATATTCAGAGACTTTCAGGTATGCTTATGTGTATTGTTTCTGATGCAAATAATTATTCCTGACATCAGATGTAAAAAGGCTTAGAACTGGTCAGTGTTTAAAGTGCACATACACACAATTCAGTGGATTCTCTTTGCTTTTGTTTTCTGTACATTGACAGTTGTACAGACAACACTGTTAGCTAATTTTAGATCATAGTCATCACCAAAAAGAAACCTGCTAGCCGTTAAAGTCACTCTCCGTTTCCTGCTCCCTCCAGTCCTCGGCAACTACCAGTCTGCTCTCTCTTCTAGACACGTCATCTAAGTGGAGTGATCACCAACGCTGAGCTGGCCTTTTCTTGGTGGCTTCTTTCATTTAGCCAGTGTTTCAAGGTTCATTCTCAGGGAACCACTTCTCATCACCTAGCCCTTTGCATTGATATATATAGTCCACTGTGTGCACAGACCACATTTTGTTTCTCCATTCCTCAGCTGACAGACCTTTGGTTTGTTCCACTCTTTGACAGTGATTTGTTTTTAAATATTTGCTTGCAAGTTTTTCTGTTGACATGTTTTTCTCAGATACATGCTGAGGAAAGAGATTGCTTTATGAGCCTGTCTTCCGAACAGTTTCCATGTAGTTTCCTAAGTGGCTGCACCGTTTACCATTCCTACTAACAATGTTTTAGGCTTCCAGTTTCACCACATCCTTGCCAGCACTTGCTGTTAACTCACTATCTTTTTAAATTTTCGCTATGCTAGTGGGTAAGATGTCCTTGCTCATTGGGTTTTTAATTTGAACTGACTTGGTGCATAACAGCAGTTAACAGTGTTGAGACTCTCTTCCTGTGCGTTTGCACATATTTAAATTGTTTGTCCTCTATTAAAGTGGACAATCCTTTTTATTGCTGCATTACTTTTTTTTTTATACTACTTTATTTACAGAATTCGAATGCATAGTTTTCAAGAACAGATTCTTCCAATTTCCCTCACCCCCACCACCCATCAAATTGTACAACCGCATGATTAAACCCTCCTACCCCAGCACATCCTCATCCCTCTACTCCTTACTGGGATGTGCTGTTGAGTATGATTCACAGCAACCCTATAAACAAGAGATCCGAACTCTGTCTTATCTTGCACCATCTTCATCATCTCTGACACTTTTTAAAATTAATTTTAATGAAAGTTTACAGAGACTTAGGATTTCCGTCATTCATTGTTGCACTTTTCTCCCTGCCCACCTCTGCCCCCCCATTCACTCTTCTCCTTGAAAAGTAAAAGGAAAACTCTTCATTGTTAGGCAATCCCTCCCCCAAGTCCACTCCACTATGCAGCCTTCATTCTGGATTCCTGGCTTGACAATAATACACAATCATATATCCCTTTAAATACTTCTCTCCCTCATCTGTTTCAATGCATCATTCATCCCCTCCTTCTCTGTCTTCCCTCAATCCCAGTGACTGTCCCATTTTACAACAGTGGCCCTATGCAATATTTGACCTTTTGTGACTGAGATATTTCACTCTGCATAATGTCCTCCAGGGTCACCCATTTTGTATATTTCATGAGTTCTCTGTTTTTCAGTGCTGCATGGTATTCCATCATGTGAACATACCAGAGCTGCTCTATCCATTCCTTTGTTGATGGGCACTTGGATTGTTCCCAGCTCTTTGTTATTGTGAACAAAGCTGCAGTAAACATGGGTGTGCATATATCGGACACATTTGAATCCACCCACTGCTGCAGTCACTTTGTCAGTCCATCTCAATTAGGGTCTTCCTCTCTTTCTCTGACCTTCTACTTTGCTAACATCATGTCCATCTCTAAGAAATAGTCTCTCCTAGCAATATGCCGGAAGTCTGTGAGATGAAGTTGCCGCATTCTTGCCTCAATGGACCACTCTGGCTGCATTTCTTCATGACTTGTCTGTGTGTTGTTTTGACAGTCCATGGGATGTTAGTATTCTCCTCCATGATCACAACTCAACAGTATCAATTCTTCTTCTTCTGTAATCCTTCATGTTCATTGTCCAGCTTTCAGATACATAGCAAGTGATTGAAAAGACCATGGCCTAAATCAGGTACACCTCAGTCTTCCAGCTGACATCATTGCTTCTCAGTACTTTGGAGAGGCCCCTGACAGCAGACTTTCACAACCCAATACATCTTTGATTTCCTGATTCCTGGTGTCAAGAGTGTTGAGTATGTATCCAAATAAGATGGACTTTTTGACAATTTCAATCTTTTCTCCATCTTTCATGATGTTGCCTATGGGTCCAGTGGTGAAATTGTTTTGTTTTCTTGATGTTTCTACTCTCTGATCTTCTGCAGGAAGCATTTAAAGTCCTCATCACTTTCAGTAACTGAGGTTGTGTCCTCTGCTTAACACAGGTTGTTGATGAGTCTTCCTCCTATCTTAATGCCACATTTTTCTTCATAGAATCCTGTTTCGTGAATGATTTCCTCAGAATACACATTGTATAGGCCTGAAGAAAGGATTCAGTCCTCACACACACCTTTCTTGATTTTAAAATGTACAGTGTTTCCCTTGCTCTGGTCAGGTAACAGCTTCTTAGTCAAGGCATAGGTTTCATAGGAGCATGAGTAAATGTTCTGGGATTCCCATTATTGTCAATGTCAGCTGTAGTTTGTTATGACCTACACAGTCAAATGCATTTGCATAGTCAGTAGAACACAAATATTATTCTAGTATTTTCTACTTTGGGCCAGGATCCATCTGACCTCTGCAGTGATATCTCTGGTGCCATGACCTCTTCCAAATCCATCCTGAACTTCTGGCAGATCTCTGTCCACGCACTGTTCTAGTCCATTTTTAATTATCTTCAGCAATATTTTGCTTGCATGTTATTAATCTCCACATTCTGTTGGATCATTTTTCTTGGGAATGGGGAAAAAATATGGATCTCTTTCAGTCAACAAGGTAACTATCTTCCAGATTTCTAAGCACAGTCTGTTGAGCACATCTAGGGCTACATCTATTAGTTGAAACATATCAAATAGTATCGCAATGAGTCCTGGGACCTAATTTTTTGCCAGTGCCTTCAGGGCAACTTGAACTTCTTCCTTTATTATCATTGGCTCTTGATCACATGCTACTTTCCTGAAGTATTTCAGAGTTGTCTAATTCCTATTGGTATAGTGACTCTGTGTATTTTCTCTGTTTATTTAAAAAGCAGACCTATTTAAGAATAGGTTCTCAATATCAGCTGTGAAAACTAGGCCAGGAGCTGATTGTGGAACAGACCACCAACTACTCATATGCAAGTTCAAGCTGAAGTTGAGGAAAATTAAACCAAATCCATGGCAATCAAAATATGACTTTGAGTCTATCCTACCTGAACTTCAGAACCATCTCAGGAACAGGTTTGAGGTCTTGAACACTAATGAGCGAAGACCACACAAGTTGTGGGAGGATATCAAGGGTATCATCCAGGAAGAGTGCAAACGGTCATTGCAAAGACAGAAGAAAGAGGAAGAGAAGACCAAAATGGATGTCAGAAGAGACTCTGAAAATTGCACTGGAGGGTAGAGAAGCCAAAGCACAAGGAAGAATTCAAGATACTAAAGAGTTGAATTTCAAAAGTTGATTTCAAAAGGCAGCACGGGATGCCAGAATAAAATATTATAATGAAATGTGCAAGGAGTTGGAGTCAACCAAAAGGGCCGAACTCACTCAGCATTTCTTAAACTCAAGGAATTGAAGAACAAATTCAGACTTCGAGTTGCTCTAATCAAGGATGCTTTTGGCAGAATATTAAATGACCGGGAAGTATTAAAAGAAGATGGAAAGACTATACTGACTCACTGTATCGAAAGGAATTGGCAGACACAGAAGAATTTCATGAAACAACATATGAGCAAGAGCCTAAGGTGATGAAAGAAGTTCAGGCTGCTTTGAAGGAAATGGCA